TCTAAGTTGCCCGTCACTATTAACCCTGTATACAGAGGGGATAACATTGATAATTGATGTGAGGACTCCTTTCCTCTCAGTTGATATACATCTATACATCCATAAGTATAGATCAAATAAATAAAATTGTAGCAATTTACATGTTTCCTTTATCAAAAAAAAGTTTTTTTATCTTCCTCTTGTTGAGTTATGATCATCAAGCCATCAAGGCTAGGTCAAATGGGTACTATCTGCAAGTTTGGGCATTCTTGTGAATCTCCCTCACTTCATATAAGCTGGATGCTTCACTCTCAGCTCTAGCCCTCCGTGGCTATGTCCTTATCCATGGGTTCAGGAGTCCCCAGGTCTCACCACACTTTGGACCAACCAGCCCTTCCTCTTCTCCCTCTCATATCAGGTCGACAGGAGTCTATGGAACATAGTTGAACTTAACCCATATATCCATTGTTGTCTTTCCCCCTCTTCCACTCACCAATAGACCAACGTGGTTGCCAGCAAGCTTACATGCCTGCTCATGTGTTCCATTTGAGTTTCTGTCTTGGAAGGGGGTTTGTCCTAAAGGGACTTGATTGCTTTTCTTGATGGCTCCTTATCATACAACTTCCTTGTTTTTGTAGTAGCCAGTCAAACTGGCATTTTTGTTTTGGAATTTTCCTGTGGATCTTTCTTTCAAGAAATATCTTTTGTTGTTCTAGCTGTTCCAAGATGGTCTGCTTGTCCTTTCCAGTGGGACTGTCCCACCTCAGAAGGTTCTGGATGGGGCTCAGGATTCCACCTAAAGTCCTATAAACTACACAGGCTCCACAAGAAGCTTATTTCACTGGGCAAGTTCTAGAACCTCTTTTAGGTATTCCAATCAGTCATAGGCTGAAGACAGGCTTATAAGCTTTCTGCAATCATGTTGCCCAATTTTCCTTTCTATCCCATTCAAGTGTCTATTTTACAATAGTAGGCAAGGGGAACCGATATTCATAAGACAGTCAAGCATCTTAACATTTTTTCCCCTCTTCAGATTATGCCTTGATCCCTGTATCAAAGAACCCTGTTGTTCCAGGTTGAGCATACATCACTATTTACCTCTGTCCCATTTAAAGCTCTGTTTCAAGAATAGAAGCAGTCCAGTAAACTTGGATCTAAAGAATGCACTTCACTACTGGATCGTCTTCCTTGGTGGTAGTTAGTCTGTTTTGCCACCTCTGGGATGGCTCATTTTAAGCTTTGTGGGATGGCAAAGCAGGACAATACCCACCTTTGGATGCCAAATATATTATTTGCATGTTCCTAGCACTGCAAGAGTACCATGTGTCTTATTTAAATTATTAGCAAGCTACCCTAGGTGACTCACAAGCACCTCACATTTATATAACCCTACCAACTCTTTTGGTGGCAGTTACAAAGACTAGCTAAAAGAGTTATGCTAAGTGATGCACTGGTGCTGGCAAATTTAATGAGATTCTGAATACTTTCTTTCTCTAATATGGTTCAAATAAAAGGGTTATCTTATAAAAGGTGTAATTAATTTAACCACAAAATATGTTTTGAAGATTTACTATGATTCAAGAACAACACAAGTAACATAATATATACCATGTATGTAAGCTCGCTATGAGTTGGTAATGACTTGACAGCACTTAGCAACAACAAGGAGATTATATCCTTACTTGGTCTTAGTGTCTGCAAGTATATACTAAGACTAAGTTAGATTAAAAGACACTGATTTAAATATTGAACGGGGAAGATAAACATATAAATATGTTACTGTTGCTAAGTGATATCAAGTTGGTTTTGACTCATAGAAACCCTGTACAGAGTTTCCAAGA